ACACAAGCACGACAAGCTAAAAACAACATCACACACATATCACGCCGAAGTGAGCAGCGCAATAAAGCGAGGCGGCCGAAAGCAAGTGTGGGTGTTGGCTTATTACAGCCTACTTGAATTTTTGTTTTTCAATAATCACACATTTTACGAGTGACAACAAGAAATACAGACATTAATTGTACCGTACAGGCACTTAGTATGCCAATAAGTCCAAACATATGTACATGTGTATGTATACGAGTATTTAAGTAAAGCTTGTTTGGTGGTATACAAGCCTGCGTGATCCCAGGAAAATTAGCCTCATATTTATTGATATAAAATTTTACGCCTTTAACAACTTAATTAAAAATTTCGTACCCCCCTGGTAGTGTTTTCACAGAGGAGATATAGGGATCTATTTTAGTTCCAAAAACAAAAGGAAACTAGAAATATCCGTCCTGCTTTGCTGTAACCAAAATAAATTTTAGAGCCGATTGTTGACGAAGTAAAAAATTCTTGGAACCAATTCATTTAGCTTCTCAACATTTCTTAATCATTATCATTGTTTAAATGAAGTTGTTCATCAGCTTACCACATAACATAGCTTCGGTTGGTTCAGATCTTGTGGATTATTACTAAGCCGATTTTGAGCTCAAAAATGTTGTATTTTTTGCAATAAAGCATTTTGATCTTTTAAATATATGGTAACACTATTCTATTCTATAACTATTTCAAACAGCTTCTGTTTGGTACCGAAATTTTACATACATCGATACTTTATTCGTTAATTTTTCTTTGCCAAGAGGAAGACAAATTTGCTTGAGTTTATTTACCACAGCGTTTGTAACGTCCAGAAGGAATCGTTGGAAATCCTATAAAAAATATATATATAAATGATTAGCGTGACGCGCTGAGTTGATTAAGCCATCTCCGTCTGTCTGTTTATCTGTATGATATATACGCTAACTCATTTTTCTCGAAACGCTGTTTTCAGAGTCGGTGAGTAAAATTTCTCCGAAACGGCTGGACCGATCGACTTGAAATATTCACACGACCTTCTTAGATATATTTGTCAGGTAATGATGGAAGTAATAATACTTTTGATAAAAATGTTGTTTTTTGACAAAAATCGACTTTTTTCTTTCGAAAGCCGCTATTTTGTCAATAGTCAAAATTTTGACTCCTTCCTCGTTTGCTCCTTACTCCTCTTTCCCCCTTGAATCGCTGCCTGTTTTCATCTAGGTATAGTAACTATAATGATTTTTCCTCTTTTGGATTTGAGATAATGCTAAGTAGAAATATCTTTTTGATCGCCAGCACCCATTTTTCGGAGGTTCTCCTCGGGATCGAGGGAATCCACAATTTTTCAAAATTAATCACCGATTATAAAAGTACATTAAATTCTGTAAATGTACATTCTGTTTATTTATTTATTATTTTATTATTATTTTTATTAATTCATTATTTTGATAAGGAGTAAACTTCAAAAATTAGGCAGATGTTTTCTTGTGTTCTTTTTAAAAAAATAATCAACCTTCACCAGAGTAATGATAGTTTCCATACGGATATTCTGAAATTTTAACAAAATGTATTTTATAATTTTTCTTTTTGGGAAAAAAGAGAGAAGTTCTCACTCATGCTACCTAAAAGCTAAACGTTTAAAAATAATTCAATATTTTTAAAATCAACAAAATTTCATATTTACCAGCCTTACATACGTATGTGCATATGTATGTGTGTACAAATTTATGTTAATATATACTTAAGTATGTACGCAGTGGCTATGAGAATCCTTAACATATGATGTTATGCCTTAAATGGTTGTTGCCATTAAACCGTTGACGCCAGTTGCCAGCCATTGGCTACACCGATTGACAAGCTGGATACAGCAAATGTGCTCAATCATTGCGCATGCGCCACCGACCGTTCAAACCATATAACAGCAGTTATTTATTATTTTTGCTAGTTAGATTTTACCAAAAAATGCGTTAAATAATTCAACAACGAAAATGTGATTCTCAAAAAAATACTTGTACAATAATAATGGAAACACTTTATTACATTCATATATTCATAACTATGTTTGTAGAAGCAAGCATAAGAAAAGCTCCTTTTAATACTTTTAACACGTTAATCGATGAATTCCTTCGTTAAATGACAATTTTCCCACATTAAATATTACCGATAGCTTTTTGATGATAATTGAGCCAACAATTTATGGAAACAAAATTAAGAATTCCCACTAGAGTATTTATTTTTAATTAGTTTACACATTTTATTCGACTTTGTACATACATATATGTATACGAGCACTTATTGAGTGTTATTCTGTGTAGCATATAAAGTATGTGTTCATACGTATGTATGACAGAAATAAAACGAAGTGTCAAATTTTCATAGTAATTGAAAACAAAATTTCTACTTTCATTTATGACGTCAAGAATTAATCGATTTTTCTGACAAACACTTTAGAAAAAAATAGAACGGAGCTAAATTGACGTATGTTTAACTTGAATCATGCTTAGTAGAACGATTACTTGCTATTTCAGACTGGACTGATTGCCCCTCGCTTATGTGGTATTTTTGCAAAGTGTTTGCAGACATTTAATTTCCTTATCACTTTTGACGAAATGATCGCAGGATTTTATGATGATATCAATATGATTAGGATATTCAATTCATTCAGCCAAGATATGCCGGTCCAATGGATGCTGATGTTTCTGGTTCCGAAGGTATTCAATGTGATAACAGCTTGTGGGAAATGCAAGAGGGATTTGCGTTAGAAAGTCCGAGTGGAAAGGGATTTTTCGTCTTCCGAAGTGAAGAATGTCGATATTGTTGTTTCTACCGAAATTGCTTACGTTGCTGAAGCACGAACTGTTAAGAGACAGGGAGAAAAATTACAATTAGTCCAATATTTTTGAAAAACATTTTGAACTTTGTGTACATTTTTTACGAGAACAGAGTGAAATACTTCAGATGCTTTTGGCATTCGTTTGCAGACATACGTATGTACATATAATATAAATATGTAGTTAAGTGTATTGACCTTGTAATAGAGTGATGCAGAGCTTCACTTCTCCCAAATACATATGTACATATCTATGCATATGTGTCTTACTAAAGAAAAAACATGCAAATTGATCGATTCTAGCATGGATTTGCACGTATGTGTGTAAGTAGTTTTGATGTGGCTGCCTCTTAGAACGCTCAACTTAAACACCTTGTGTAGAATGATTGCTACCATTACCATTTTGAGAATTCCAAAGATTTTTATTGGTATAACACTGTTTGTTGTTATTGTTCCTTTGTTTTAATTTTAGCACGTAGGAGCCTTAGGTTATGTATGTATTTCAGTTTTATAAAAAGTTTGAATAAAAACTAAACAAACAAAGAACAAGCTGAAACAATAAAGTGGAATAACCAATTTATCCTCCTCCTCACTTGGAGCGCCGTTTAAGGAAACTAGTACTTTGCTAAAGATAACGAGATATCTCGTCTATGACCACTGAAACTTGATTTCAGCAGCAGAAATAAATAACAATATTTTAATTTAGCATTTGGAAATATATATACATATGTACATACATTCATTTAGACCAACGGATACGTTTTTCTGATGCTATATATAAATTTATATTTTAGTGTTACATAATACAGTTTTGCGAAATGTAGTAGTAAATTATAGAACGATAAATTTAAGTGATGATTCAGTTGCAAGTCAGAAAAACACGTTTTGTAAGAGATATTTTATTTAAAAAATAAATTTTAAACATTTAAATTTACAGAATTTAATGTACATACGTAACATACTTTAATAATCGGTGTTTATTTTTAAAAATTTTGGATTCCTTTGTTCCCAATCCGATCTCCAGGAGGATCTCAGAAAAAAGTTGAGTAAGATTTTCACGTAATATTAACTAAAATTAGAAAACATAAAAAAGTATTATTATTGTAGAAGAAATTTTTGGATTGGATTTTTGAAAAAATGGCGCCTTCCCAAACAAAAAGTCGTTTGTTGTGAAAAGACTTGCACTTTAGGGTGACTTAAAACATCGAAATTATTATCAAAACCCGTATACCTTTGGTTATTTCCTAACAACTACATATATCTAAGAAAGTCGCCTGTAAATTTCAAGTGAAGTTAGAGCATTGTTACAAATATGATCCGCTTATATCTCCGAAACTAATTGCCGGATCGAATCAAATTTAAAATATTTTCAAATATACATACATATACTTATATTTCATGTACATATGTATGTCTAAAAAAAAACTCGTAGATCCGCTGATGAAGCAATACCAAGAGAGTTTAAAAAACGTTAAAGTGGCACAAACTGTAACGATTTATCTTGATCCAATTTGGTGAATACAAATTAATAGGTAATTTCGATTCGCCACTTACTAAATACAGCTTATATAAAATACCTGATGCATTTACCGTCAGCTAAATCCCAAAACAAATTTCTTCTCAGTAAATATCCACTTCAATTAAGTAACCATTGCATAGAACTCTTAAAAGTTTAACTTCTTTATATATCTTTTGCACTTGTACCACTGTGCAATAATTTTTATCTGTTCAGATATGTATAAACATTAACATTTGTTTTAACAGTTTACAAAAAATTAAAAAAAAATAAATTATTAACATTATGAACAAAACTGTTAATAATAAATCGGAAATATGCTATGTAAGTCCTTAACGAAATACACATCTTTGAGCATCTCGCATATTTGCTTATGACTATTGATAATCCTACACGAAAGACCCTTTTTCAATATGTTATTTTTAGTAAACTTCCCACACATATTGAATGTGTTCCCAAATATCACATTTGACTCATTTCTACTGTTCCCATGGTACATTTTACAAACTGGTTGACTTGATCAGTGCAACAGTCGTCTCGCCTGCTCACACATCTGTTGACCGGTACGCGCTAACAAACTGTGCGAGCGAGCCAACGATATATTCTGAAGCCGCAGCCCGAAGAGAATTAAAAACCCACACGAAAACAAAATGCAATCTCGTTTCCGAAGAAAATACTGCGGCGATCGCTTGAAAGCGAAATTTTCGTTTCGTGTCTTTTCAGTTTTGTTCTTGGAGTTATCGCGTTTAGTTATTCAAAAAATTACACTTCGCGTTCAATAGCAAATCTTGAGTGTGCTTAAATAGTAATTATACACACAAAAAATTGCTTAAATTCTTCCTTTGGATTTTCAAATCGCGATCAAATAAAGCGTGAAACGTTTAGCAAACTACAAAAAGTACGTGAAAGGACCAACAATCAAAGAAATAAAACTTAAAGTGAACAGTGTCTTAAGCTAAATTCAATTGCAGAGATGCTTTGGAATTCCACAAATTTTTCCTTTTTTTTGTTGTAATACTTGTGCTCGTTTTTAAAGGGCAAGAATCGAAGCAAATTGTTGAAGCAAACAACAATGCAGCCGCAGTCGTCGTCGCCTCCATTCATTCCAAACCAAGCTGCGTAGCGACTGCGCAGCGCGATTCTTGACAATTCCGCATAGTTTCCGAGAGTCAAAAAAATAATTGTGTATGAAAATTTTTAGTGTTATGTAGTGAAATGTAGCGGGGGAAAATATGTAGTGTCGAGCTTTTCCATTTCCGTCTTGTGTATTTTTAGTTAAATGAAATATTTTTAGTAGCTTATTTACTCCACTAGTATGGAAAACAACGACGCACGGCAGCGCAGCGCTGCATATACTATAAGAAATAAATCTGTTTGACATTCCGCTTTCATCTCGTCGTTTATCCGCATTGTCAGCATATACTCAAATAAATTTGTGTGAATGTGTGTGCAGCAAACAGCTAAATGCACGGATCGAACGACTTGCCGTACGAATTGACTACAGAAAACGTAATTCGAAAAAGCAGGCAAAAACAAAAATAAAGAGTAGTGAACGAAGCAAGCGAGAAGCTAATGAAAACTGCGACGCTAGCGTTAATATGAGCAGCGACGCAGCGGCTTTATTTGCGTTCAAAACAGGAGCGGACGACAGAAATAGAAGGCGTATGAGAAGCGGCGAAATATACAAGAAATACGATCGACTGGATTCGAATGACTTTTCTTCATATATAATATTAAAAAGAAAAATGTGCAAACGCAAAAGCAAATTACAAATACAACTGAAGAAATTGTTGATTTTTAATTTACATATAAAGCGTTTGCATTTGTACACCCCTTTTGTCACTTTGACTGCCGTTGATCCTATGCGAATTCCGCCTTCTCATTTCACTACAGCTACAAATACAAATTGCACATCTGTTTAATTTTGCTGTAATTAGAGTAGTTTTCGCATTATGGACACCATTTCGTGTTCGAAATTTCAATATATTATTATTTAACTTTATTTTATGTTCTTGTCATTCTGTGCTATAATAACCGCGTTTTACCTACGAGAGCGTAGTGTGTATTTATTGAAATTTGAAAAACATGTATTCAAATACATGAGAATTGAAAGTTTTGAAATCGTACAGCGTATTCACCATTGCTACCACTTCTGCCACTTATGGTCCACTCTGCAATTGATTTGGTTAAGAGGAAACATGCATTTAAACCATATTGAGTCAAAAGCTTTAATTTTGAATATGAAAGTAATGAATAAATTTTCTCACAATTACAGTTAATTGGAAAAACGTGTCACAATCGCAAACAAACCAATAGTACAGACTTAAGTACATGCGTATAAAATTTAAATAATTGTGAATTCAACAACATACCATAAATAAATGAATTGCGTGAAATTAAATTTTTGAAACGCTCTTTTATAACATAACAAAAACGAAGTGCAATAATTTATTTACTTTAAAAAAAAATCAGTTCGAGTTTAAAACCGCAAGAACTTTACAAATAATTGTGTGTGGCTAGTGGATTTTCATTGATTAAGCCATTAGTAAAATCCTTTTTTGTACACATCTTTATTTAAAAAAAAACTGCAAAACAAAAACAGCTTCAAAATGAGTCTGTGTGATGCTAGCGTCGTTACCATTCAAGCTACCCCCCAACAACAACATCAGAGCACACAAAGCATAGCCGATTATTTGGCACAATTACTGAAGGATCGCAAACAAATGGCAGCTTTTCCAAATGTATTCAATCATGTTGAACGTCTACTCGATGAAGGTATGCCACAAACTTAATTAATTTAAAAAAATAAATTTTATATGATTTCTTTATTCATTAAACGTTAAGTACTAATATAGAAATATTTTCATTTTTATCTGAAAACTATGCTTTTGAAAATAATAGCTTTTGGTTCAATTGTGTATAAAAAAATTTAAGAGATTTCTAAACTTTTCCGTGAATTAAGGCCTAACAGCAACTGATTTTTTTTCGTGTTTTACGATGCGTTAGCAACATTTCAGGCATAATCACGAACACTGAAATCAATAAAAAAGTATATTTTTCAAAGCTCTATTTTTAATTGCTGTGCGTTTTGAGGTTTCTTTTTCAAAATGACTGCTATAAAGTGTAGCCCACAAGAAGGAGTCGTTGATCTCTGTTTGGAAGAACGTGTTTTTCGTAAAACTACACAATAGTACGTGGATCTGGTTAAGCAGATCACCAAAAGCAAAAAAAAAAAAAAAAAAAACTGTAGGCACACGTGATACAAGCAATGAAAGTGTAGAAAGGCAAGGAGAAATGAATACAAAAATTTGTAAGCAAATGCTTTTTGTTTTCTCTTTTTCTTGGCTCCGCTTTTGGAGTCTTCGAGTGAACAGCTCCGGCAAATCGTTTCATTCCACTTTAATCGTGTTTTTTTTTACTTCGTTTCTTGCCCTATTCGCTTTTATCGTACACTTGTATTTATATAAAATTCTTTAGTTTTCTTTGATTTTTCTTGCTAGCTGTCTGCTCATTTCTTCCTGTATATGTTCATATTATAGCAGCCCATGCCCTTACAATGGCTCTTGTGTTCTTGCCACGACGCACACACATTGTTGTCGTATTATTGTTTATCTGCTCCCACTTCGTATTTTATTCAAGTGTACTTGTGTGGGTCTTGGCATGTGCACGGTCCGCTGTAGCTCCAGTCAAGATGCTGTGCAACACCGAAAGAATGCCCGTCTGCCTATTTGCGGTACAAACTCATCCCATTGAGTGCGATCCATTCCATTCGTTACGTTTACATTTTTTTTAACGCATTTATGATAATTGGATGCCCGGTCGCGTTGCCTGCCATGGGGTAAAGTGTCAATACCGGCGGGAGAATGGTGACCGAGAGTTCGCCTGCCCACTTGACATTTACTCATTTACGCACAAAATTGTTGCATTATTTTTGGTAATTTGAATTGTTAATTCCGATTGGGTGACCGGCCGAAAAGGCAGAAATATGACGAAATAACTTTGTTTGTAATTCGGAGTTAAAAATACATAACCAGATATATGTATGTACATATTTTTTGAAATGTAAACAGTTTTGGAAAATTTCGGAAGCGTGGCGGATGTGGTATGAATTGCAGATAATGGTTTTCTGTGGAAATATTTCAACTTTGTTTACATTCAAATTGTCTGCGGATTTGTATGGAAATTTGGGATATAAAATTTTTTCCTTTTATACATTTCTACTTGTGTTTTTATATATTCGTACATGTGTATGTAGTGATTTATGCAAACTGAAATTTGAAGGCTTCAGAGATTGTATCTGTAAAATTTTGAATAACTTTTCAACTGTGAGTCTTTCTTCATTCATCGGGTTCATTATGCTTGATTAATAATTTGGTCCATTCAAAGATGTTTTTTTTACTTTTTTTGGACATTCCCATTTCAAATTCACGTGTTGGTAACCAAAGTACACAAGTAACGGTACAAAATTTTCGAGCTTTTCGAGCTCGTAGAATCTTTATTTTTTTTTTTATTGAAACTTTTTCACGACTTTCTAACTTAAAAAAAAAAGCTTTAAACTACAATTTAAGAGTCTAGTAAAACAGCGTATAAATTTAAATTAATAAAAAAGGAACATTTTTAGTTGTGCCCTAATTTTAGAGCAAAGTAATACCAATAATCTACATAGCTAAACAGTTAACCGGTTATTCTAACATAACATTAAAAAAGTTGTTTCACAATAACCTATTCACATTCACATGATCGATAACAATCGCCACAAAATTTATTTCAGCGAAAATTAAAGTAGTAATTTTTTTTCCGGAAGCCACAACTGGTGTCTGAAAAAACAAAAAACAAAACCAGAATTGGATTCAAATCAAATACACCAACATTAATGCTCGAGATAAACATGTTTACAGTTTTAACTTTTTGTTTTTACTTGATAATTAAATTCAAATAGCTACGGTCCACAAGATAATGGCGACGCGGTTTCTTTAGATAAATAGTTAATAAACAAATAGTCAAGTAGATTAATAATTTTTCAACGTCGTTTAGGTAAACCACCAAAAGGGTAGCCACAAAGCCAGCAAACGTAGACGCAATGTGATAAGAATTTGAGGTTCATAAAATGGAATTAAATTCACTTCATAACTACAAAGCGACATCAGCTTTTAAAAAGTATAATACATACTTATGTATGTATGTATGTATGTTGTATATCTTGTTATTTAGCTTTAAAACTTTAAACAAAGTTGCTACACATTTTTTTTATCTGTTGTGTGCAGAAGCGCTTGCCATTTTTTATGCTCAGCATCCACGGCGTTAATGGCGGCGGAATGTATCCATTGTGTATCCAGTAACTAACCCCATGCAGTAATGAGTTTGTGTCAACAAATTGGCTATAAATAAACCATATTCCGCGAGATCAGACTGTTTTTTTATTTTTATTTATTTATTAATTTTTTATTTTTTATTTTATTTTTTGTTAATTACGGAGACAGATCTTCAAAGTTTACTTACATTTTTAATTTCAAATCCACGCGTTTTTTAGTTGAAAATTATTACCTAGATAAGCGTGAAAAATGCCAAAAATTGAATATATAAAAACAGAGATTGAAAAAATAAATATATATATGTACTCGTATGTATGTTACCTACTCCAAAAGCGCTTAAATAAATATTTTTTTTTTTTAGTTTTTAATTTGCTAAGATTCGCTTTACCGTTTGCATTTAATTTAGTTTTCTTGGTTTGCTGTGTTTCGCACTACTTTCGATGTTTTGATTTATTCATTTTAATAGTTTTAATTTTTCATTCCATAACTTTTTTTTTGATACAGATTGCCATACTCTATTTTCTGATTGCGCAAAGTTTTTCTTTTTTTGCAACTGAATTTTAGGTCGAATTTTTGCAAAAGGTGAGCTAAACTTTCTCTTTTCGATTTTTCGCCTTTTGTTTTTAAAGATATTATGATAAATTTACAATTAACCAAATGTTTTATTGTTTAATGATCTATTTTTGCAATTAATTGATTAAAATCGTACGCGTTTAAGTATTAATGGCATATCAGTTTTATAGACAGTTAAACTTTTTCTTTCGTCGTCATTATCATAACTTTCATTTTTAATCGATTTTTATAGTGAATTATGCACATCTAGTCTGTATAATGATGTTTTTCAATACATTTTGAAATAGAAATACAAACGTGAGCTATGCCTTTATTGTTGTAACTACATACCAGGACTGAGAGAAGATTAAAATATCAGAGTAAATATATGCAAAATACATGGTTAATTTTGGAAACGGAAGAAAAGTCGAGCAAATGTTACTTAAGAAAATATCACTATTTTTGTTGTTGTTGTTGTTGTTGTTGTTATAGTGGAAGAATTATGCCGAGTTGACAGTCTTTGGCCGGATAAAATCCGAGTCCGAGTTGACTATAAATTTGAGTATGAAATGTCAAATTTGCTTTCTAAAAAACCGAATGTGTTTGCTTTATTCTATAACCGGAGGCGATTAGAACACAACAGCAAAACTCGTAAAACTCTTAACTTCATTTTCGCCCAGTTCGTAATCGTATTCACACTGACCTAATTAAGTTACCTGTTAGCAACCAGCAACTTCTCTGCATACATAAGCATAAATACTTAGAAAATATATGCTTATACAAAATAATGTTTGTAAATGTGTATGTAGCATGCATAAAAGTGCGTATAACGAACCCGTATTACATACATACAAACTACAGTACATGTAATACCTAAGTATGTATGTATGTATTTCATAGTGGATTTTTGGCACTACTGACACACACTAGAGATTCTTTGATCATTGCTTTGCATTGTCTTCTTCGTGTGGCTGGAAGTTTCAACGCGTTTAACTGACTCAATGAATGACAGAATCTTAACAATTCAAAATACTAATTCGTAGTTTGTTCGGGCCATATATAATATGTTGTTATTGCTACTACATATAGTGTAAGTGTGATTGCGCTTTGCTGTGTTTTTATGGTATATACGAATTTATTTATTTAATATTCTGTGCGTAAAGGAATATTTCGTTTTGCATACAAATTTGTTTCAAATTTGAATTTAATTAATGCAATTAAATTTAGTTGAAGTCAAAAAATCATACAAATTCCAAACAGGTTCTTTGCAAATAAAAAAAAAAAACAGTTTAACAAAAAAATAAAATAAATAAAAAAATTTAAAAATAATATATAAAACTAAATAAATAAGTAAATAAAAAAGAAAATATCAGAATATACTCCAAAATGCGTACAAATTTCAAAAAAGTGAAAAACAAATACTTATAAATAAATAAAAAAATAAAATAAAACAATTAGGAAAAATAAATAAATAAAAAACAATATGAAGTAAAAAAAAAAAACAATTAAATAAAAAATATTAAAAATTAACGTCCACTTCTCATCAATTATGTTTCAAGAAAGTATGCAATTAATTTTATATTATTATTTTCAATTAAACTATTTTTTTTGTTTGTTAATAGCTTTTCCATTGCATAATTATGTACAATTTCGTTTAGATTAATGGGCTCTCAACGACATAATCGTGCCGCAATAGGGTTAGCAGTAGACGGCGTGCGCACTTTGAAACGTTACGTAGTTATGTATGTAGTAATAAAAGCGCTAATTTATTCTTTATCTACACTATGTACAAGTACTTCCATAATCAGCTACCCAGCGGTAAATTGCTTCCCGAACTATGCATGACGGTTTGCCAATAGGAATGACGACGAAGTGTAAGGAAAGAGGGGAAAATGTTTGTAGAATATTTAA